ATATTTTTGCTCATATCTCAATTAACCAATGCGATGAGCGTTCATAGAACACCAATAGTTTGTAACTGTCAGATGTCATTTTATTTCACTGTTGACAAAATTTCAACCCAAAAATTACTTTTTTTTATCAAAAAGAACGCATGAATTAGCCATATTCGGGTAGTTCAACCAGTTCTAAGCGTTTCCCGTTTGCAACACCGATATTTTACATTATTTTAAGACGTGTAATCACTGATTGTGATGGAAAAAAGTTATCGCGTTTGATTAAATGACTTAGTACTTTTGTCGCATACCATTGCATCTACATCTGGTGCACTTGAAGTGAATATTGTTCAATCTGTGAATATGGACATATGTCCACACTCCATTTAATACATATTATTGAAAATTGTAAACTTCAAAATTTTACCGCATTTGAAAAAATTATTTAGTATTTTGGTCATGGGAGTATATATACCTACTGCAAGTGAAGGCGATATTCCTGTTAATTCAATGATTCGGCATGGTAAATATAGATTAAGCATTCCATATTTTATCACACATGAGCAGTTTGTTTTGAAACAATGTTCAACAATTGATTCTTCTCACGATCACGAATTTCTTTGAATTCGAGCTTAAGGGATAAACATTGATTGCCAACGAGATTTGTTCCGTCTTTCATTGCAGCTTTCACTGAAAGGCATAAGGTTGAAAACGAGAGCCCAAAACCAAAAACAATGCAACCAAAAACAATGCAAATCATTGACCGCCTTGGGAAGCCCCTTTTGTCTTTGATATCCGAGGATTGAGTTCTCTGTCGATCTCATAGATGGTGTCTTCGTAAGGGAAGATGCCATCACCATTCTTTACTTAGGCTCTTGTCCTTTGATGACAGTTGACTCCAGCAATGCATTTGTGGTTTAGTGTAGCATCACGATTCAACCTATGGCGGGTTGAATCGGCGCTGTTTGATGTTGAATCATAAATGCGTTATTTGCGAGCTCTACTTTCCATGTCCAGAATGTAGTGAAACAACTTGAAAGAAAATTACAATCGAAGTATATTTTCCAATCTTCTCATTATCCGCTCAAATTAGAGTAAAAATAGAAGTGGAGGTATAAAATTTCGCACCCAGCTTATTGATAGGATTGTTCGAAACACTATTATAAATGAAATCTAAAAAATCCCCTTCGATCCGATACCTGGAAAAAACTTACTCGGGACAAACGTCACAAAAACAGTTTTGTGGTGTCAGTTTCATCATAAAATTAGTTCAGACAAAAATTGTAGATCAGATAATTATCCATAAAAAATGTACCAATACTTATTTCCTTAGAGCCACCGCTCTTGAGATATAACGTTTCAAAAAGTTGGAAAAGTAGTAATCGTCATAATATGCACACGTTTCCACGCCACCTTCGAGGTAGTGTACTTAGCGCAGTTTTTCAACGTGGTTTCCCCGGTAAGCTTATTCCACGGATCAGTTGTGATTCTGTTTAATTTGGAACTATTGACTAATAAAAGATATTGGCCAAGGTTGAAAATGATAAAAGCAGTGTAATTAAAGGAAAAGGAAATTTATTCGTTTGATTCAAAATTCTTTAATACTTCTGTTTCCTCTTCTCCTTGTTCTACTTATTCTTCTTCTTCTCTTGTGTGAAAGTAGGTAAATTGCCACAATAATGATACATCGCTTGCCTCCTCGTTGCTATCAAAGGAATCCTCAACTGTTGGTGATTCAACATTGGAGCACGACTGGCCTTGACAATTTGTATATGCTAGAGAACAAAAAAGTACAATTTTTTTGCAACCACATCCCTTCTTACAGCTGCAAAAAATTGTCTTCACCAGTTTTTCTGGCGCAGGTGGGAGTAAAGTCTGAACTTGTTATAACGTATTGTCGACCAACTTCCAACCGTAATCTTTTGGATCTAGCTGAACGTATTTATCTTAGAAAAGGTTGAATGTTTTTTTGCTATCCCACACAACGCGGTGCCATTAATATCCTTCATCGATGATGTATGTTATATTAAAAAAATCAATGCACTCTTTGTCTATGGATTGCACCATAATAACAAAGTATTGCATCAGCTACTACGGAGTTACCCAGGAAATGACTCAGCACATTCAGAAAGTTTCCAAAGTTTTTCTAGAATATTCGAAGAAACGCACATCTACATCAACATCAGAGTGTTGGGAAATACTTGATTAGAGTGAAATGTGGTTTCTAGAAGTGATCTCGATATTTAGGAGTCATTCCCGTTTTATTTGGCTAGCTAACTTGGGGTAAAAAGTCAGGAGCGTACGAAGTCAGAAGTAGGCCAGTTGAATTTACTGCAGACCTTTGGGAAATCCTTGAATAGAGTGAAATACGTTTTCGAGAAGTGATCTCGATATTTACAAGTTATTTGCGTCTCATTTGGCTAGCTGACTTGAGGTAAAAAGTCAGGAGCGTTGGATTTCCCACAGAGTTTGTTAAATTATTGAGGGAATTCGCGAGGCAATTTCGGTATTGGTGTTTATTCGCGGTTTATTGCGGTATAGTTGTCTTTAAAACTTTACAACTTGGATAATGAAAATCAACATAGACTACCCACACTTACTGATTCTCATTCATTTCTAACTAACTTTCAAAGGATGAAGGTTAAATTAGCTACTCAAGTTTTCAGTCATTCGGTAGTTACAGCGATGAATACTTATGCCAGTTTCAATCAGATACCATCAGCAATGATAGGAACTGCTACATTCATTGAAAAAATGGATAAAGTGTTTGATATTTTGAATTCAAATCGATTTGACGGTGTCAATAAACCTTTTTTCGGAACATCAAAACAAATTGATTTTTTGAGAGAAATGAAAACATTTTTCAGCAAATTAACTGTAATATCAAAAAAAGGAAAAAAACGACTGGCAAATGAGATTCATAGAGGTGTGTTGAAACAATTTCGGCATTTCTGCAACTTTGGGAAAACCTACATAGTGAAGGACACTTCTGCATATTGACGAGGAATATAAATCAGGACTGTGTGGAAAATTATTTTGGTCAACAGAGAAATACTTGTGGAGCTTTCAAAAAGACATTTATTCTTCAGTATTTCACACAGGCAGAAGGAACTAACTGTCTAGAAGCTACTAATGAGATTATATCTAATATTATAGATGTTGACATAAATAGAATGTAGATTCTTGTGGAAGTTCCAAAAAATCCTTATGAACCTTTGAGAGTAGAGACAAATAATGATTATAGAACTCTAGCCGTTTCCTAAGGCAACAGCTTGGGCTATGTTTGTGGATATCTTTTGGGAAAATTTAAGGAAACATTCATGTAAAGTATGTATAAATTTTGCAACGGCGCCGTGGCTATCACACTATTACACGATAAACACACAGATATAAATATATTTCAAAGTATAAAAATCAAAATTACTTCAGTGAACGAAAAATGCCGCTAAATATTCCCATATTCATCAAATTATTTGTATGTCATATGTCACGTCAAGTCATAACTCTTCTTATTCTTCTCTATACACAATTGAGAGAATAGGCATGGAACAGAATGACAGATACATTTCACAGAAACCATAAAAACATGTTCTGCGAGTACGAGAAAACGCAAAGCACAACGTAATACGTAATTATAGTCCAGTCCAATTCAGTCCACTGCTACGTTGCCAATGTTTCCATCCAGTCGAGTAACCGTCAACCAAAACAGAATCAGAACCAAGACACGGAACGCTGTGCGGACAGATTGGTGGAGTGACACGAAGACAGATAAAGTTCAGTGCCGGACTACGACAATATTAGTGTGGGAACTCATAGTTGAAAAATCAATTGGACAATATAGTTTTTTTCTAACTTTTATAGGACATGTAGTTTGTTATTGATGTTTATAATCATATTTTAAACCCATTGTTTTTTTACTTTTCAAAATATTTTTATTGAATTGTGAGTTTTCATTTGAATTTCAATTTGTTTTTTTTTGTTTTTCGTTACCACCCAGAAAGCTGGGGGCCAGCTTTATCGTGGAGGGGAGATGTGTCAAATTTAGAAAATAATCATGAAATAATTCAGATTTATTTAATTAAATACATGAATTGAAAGATGTTTCAACCTCACATCAATATTTTAACACAAAACACTCACTATTCAGAATTCCATCTTTTAATATTTCAAGTTCATAGACATC